AAACAAGCGAAAATTCTCTCTCTCTTTTTTCCTTCTTTCTCCCCGGAGCGTTCGACTCCGATCTTCGAGAGCTTCTCGCGTTTTTCGAACGCGTCGCGCGTCAACGGGAACTTTCCCGTTGAATTATAAAGAAGAGAAGGCGAACCGCGCGAGTTTCTTGTCATTTCTTGAGGGAACGGCAAAGGAAGTTCAAACAAAAACACGAGAAAGTTCCATCGAATTCGCGAAACACGTAATTCTAATCCTAAAAAGAAGAAGAAAATTTTACGCGCTATTTTTTTTTTTTTTTTTTTCTTTTTACAGGCGAAACTTCTATGAATTTGGAATTGTGACGCCAGGAAGTTTCTGGCGAGGGGGAGCAAGTAAAAGGGAGAAGTCCATGGAGGAACACGGAGAAAAATTGGCGTGCTTCACTCGCGGTAATTGGACAGCGCCGCTTGTAGTTCCGAGGAAATCGCGATGCAAATGTGGCCATAGTCGAAATTAAAGGAAATCCTTTTCCTGGCGTAAGCCGGTATTCCGAAGGAAACGAACGCAATCGGGTGCACACTGTCCAACTTTCGTCCGAAATAAGCATTCATTGGGTTCTCGCGCAGCTTAACACAACGGGATTCTCTTTTAAATGTTCGCCGCTGTATAAAGTTGCGAAAGTTATCATACCCTTGACGTCCTCTCGCGAATTTTATCACCGATTTATCGAAAAGCGTGTCGTCGTTTCTAATCTCTTTGCATTCGAATTATACGAGTAGCGAAGTACCTTTAGTTTTCAAATAAAAGTACTTTTCAACAAAGATAATTTTTCCACTTTGAAGTCGAATTGAGAATTATGAGATTGGTATATACTGCTGTATCGATTTTAAACATTGATCAAATTATCGAGTGAGTTTTGATTTATTTAACTAAAAGTTGAAATCAAGTTTCACTTACTTGATCTAAGTTTGCGTCGTTAAGATACTTTCTTGTAATACTCTCTACACTGCAATCTAATTAATAATTATTATGTTGAACTCTCTCGCGAAATTTATCACCGATTTATCGAAAAGCGTGTCGTTGTTTCTAATCTCTTTGCATTCGAATTATACGAGTAGCGAAGTACCTTTAGTTTTCAAATAAAAATACTTTTCAACAAAGATAATTTTTCTTTTCGACTTTGAAGTCGAATTGAGAATTATGAGATTGGTATATACTGCTGGATCGATTTTAAACATTGATCAAATTATCGAGTGAGTTTTGATTTATTTAACTAAAAGTTGAAATCAAGTTTCACTTACTTGATCTAAGTTTGCGTCGTTAAGATACTTTCTTGTAATACTCTCTACACTGCAATCTAATTAATAATTATTATGTTGAACTATCAAGTTGAAAGAGAATTGTCAGCTTTGTCAATGCGAGACTTGCAACGAAACGATTCGTTCGTTTTTCATTTCAACGTGACACAAAGCAACACGGCCTTGCATCAACATTTGAAATATCAACATTCGCTAGTCGGACTGCCCTATTTGCTATTATTTTAGATAAACTATCGGCGTGTCACGTGCCGCGCAACGCAGTCGCTGCGAACGTAAATTTAAATCGATTCGCAAAGCCGGCGGGCGCAGCTCGCGTAAATAGACGTGTGCAGCAATATCTGATGAGGCAAATTTCTCGAAAGCCCGGGCCGAGCGTCAGAGGAAGGGAAAACAGAGATGGAAATGGAGGTTGGACGGTTGCAATTCATCCTTCGATGCAACGTCCTCATTAACTCATTCACCAAGTCGTACACATCTGAACTCGTATCGTCATCGAGATTATGATTACATCGCGCACACGGGGTCCTCGTTTTCACCGATGACTTCCCGATCCATGCACACACGTTCACCTCCTCTGTCTTTGAAAGCTCTCGTTTCACCGGCTCTTCGGCGTTTATTTGCAAGAGCGAGCAAGGACGGGGTTAAAGAACACGGGGGGACGAAACACGTGCCGCGCGCAACTGTTCGATTGTGACGTGGAGAGATATAGAACAGAAATTTTTCGCGTTCGTGAGAATTATTTTAACGAAAATACTTCAACGCTATGGATATTGAATTTTATGTATGATTAAAATAGAACGTCAAACATTACATATCGTTAACATCTATTATATCGACATCACATAGATACAAATGCGCGCCAGATCATTGAATTCAATGAAATTCAACAATAGAGTTTATTATTTACAGTTATTACTTATGTTTGTTTGCTTCAGCTCGTGCTCGAGTTTGTTTGTTTCTGGCCTTTCGTAACTCTGAGGGACACTACCATATGATTGAATTCGTCTTGACAGTCTTCAAAAGAATAGCATTCTATATAAAAAATTAAAAGTCACTTTAATTTCGTGAAAAATTTCGTAAATATAAAAAAATTGTTATTAAACTGCTGTATTGGTCGCAGTAAACCGTACAACTTTGCCCTCTGCCATTTTTTCCTCTTGTTTACCATTTCCGAGAAAAATGCTGGGCAAAAATAACGCGAACACCCTGTATATTAATAATTCCAAGCTCAATAAGTCAAATGAAAATACGCAATAATGTGGGAAGAGAGATGAAATACGCGAAAGTACGTAAATAAAGCAGCAAGCGTAATTAACTCATTAAGCAACCAAACCACCAAGCGACCAAATATACTAAAACATTATTAAAAACATATAAATCATCGTTTTGTTTATTATTGGGGGGACAAAAGGAGATTGAATGAATCGAAAATGAAATTACAGGATCTGGATAAAACAAATTTATTTTTTACACAACATTTACTTTCAATGTGTCGTAAAAAAAAAAAAAAAAAAAAAAAAAAAAAGAAAAAAGAAGAACTCAAGGGCGACGAAACGAGACGTGAATGGTAAGAAGAACGGGGAAAGTAGACGTTTAGATCAGTAGTAGCCACGTGAAACGTGGCCAGGAAATAAAGGGGTTGTGCAGGAGCAATGTGAGTGAAGGGGTGAAATTTCGAAGGTTCTTTCTCGGTACTGTTTCGAATAATTTGCCGAAAAGCTTGTCTCCACGGTGAAAAATAATAGCCGTGGAAAGCGAGGGAGAAAGGGTGAGGAAACAGCGACAGAAAAAAAAGCGATAGACAGAGAGAGAAAGTATCGTCAAAGCAGAGAAAGAGAACAAAAGCGATCAGGAAATCCGAACGAGAACACGAAAACCGCGAACAACGACAAAACCGAGCGAGAATGATGGGGAGACGAGAAACCCGGGGGATGAGCCGAAACGAGGTCCTTCTATAATTAAACGCGTTTGTTTATATTTTTCAACCCGGGGAGATCCCTGGCGCTTCGTCAAATCCTATTTCCCCTGTATCGGTAATTTTTCTCTCGTCGCCTTCTTTTTTCCCCTCGCCGATAAGTCTCGCGACGACGAAAGAGCGAGACGTGGACGTGGAAGAAAGAGAGAGAGAGAGAGAAAGAGTTTGCAAGAGCAGAAGTTTAAAGCGAGAGCTATGGAAAACCGGGACGAAGCACCGCGGATGGATTAAGCAAACTAATTTGTAAGAAAGAAAAAAAGGAGAAATAAAAGAGAGAGAGAGAGA